GAAATAGTGACAGTTTTTTGATTGAAAAGATACTTTTATTACAGAAGCATCAAAAACAACATGATACATGTAATCGGGGTACATCTCACCTTGTACTGCGACGCAGCGCACCACATTGCAATACAGTTCCAAGCATACGATAAATACATTCAGAAATAAATACATTCGCTCAGCGGTATGATGCCTGACGTGATGTGCAGAGGATGAATCATCCCCCAGACCAACACGTCATGCATGACGCCGCTTACCCCAAAAACCATAGCATCCTGATACACAGTACTAAGTCATGCAATAAACGAAAGCGAAAAAAACGAAAGCCGGAGTTTACAGTCTACAATAGGCATCGGGTGTGTGTGTGGGGGGGGGGGGGGGGGGGGGGAAGGGGGGAAAAACACAGGCCCGAAGCTTGATTGAAGGGACAAAGACACGCAAGGGGGAGTAGGGGGAAGGGGAAATCTTCAGACGTCCTCTTCCTCCTTAAAGTCCATCAAGGAATAGTCTCTGAGCAGACTGAGGATCAGTCTGCGGCAGTCCTCAATGGACATCCTCTCCCGCTGGTGGATGAGGCGCTTTCTGGCGCACCATAAAGCGTCCTTAAAACAACACAGCACCCGCCAGGCGCCGTCAATGTCCTCCAGAGAAAAGGTTCCACAGAACAGTCCATTCAACACCCCAAAGTGAGTGATGGCTGTCTGTGGTACAAAGTCCTTGAGTTCAGGTTCCAGGGCCCCCAACAGGGCCAATGAGTACTCCCAGAAAACGTGGTGAGACGTTTCCTCGTGGATGATGCAGAAGGGGCAGTGTCTGTATCTGCTCAGGTTCCTGGCATGCATAAATGTCCTGAGAGGCAACCCCCCTTGGATTGCCATCCATGCCAGGTCTTTGTGCCTGTTGGTGAGAATGTTGGAAGAAACATTCCTCCAGACCACCTTGCAGGTGTCTGAAGGCAGGCCTGGAACCGACTCCAAAATGTCGCTTGCTCTGATCAGCTTGTAAATGGTCTTTGGCTTCCACAAGTCAGGCTTGACTCCCTGCAGCCCCTGCTCCCTGATGAACTTGAAGGTATCCAAGTAGTACCAAGGAGTGTCCCAGTTGTAGGGGATGGAACTGTCCCAAGTGTCCCACCCGAGGGACCTCCAGAGAGGCAACAGGAAGAAGCGAGACATTGCGTTCCCGCCAGAGTCCATAATCCGTTTGGGCAAAGTTCTGCGGATGCAGTTGCAAGCAAAGAACACCCTCAGGAAATAGTGACAGTTGTCACAGCAACAAGTGCCCCATTGGAAGTCTCCCCCTTCGTTTTTAGTCCAAGTCACAAATCAAATTTAGCATTTTTCTCACTTGCTGTCCAGGTTACAGAGATTACCAGGACAATATAGTGAAAGTGAAGCTGTCCAGCAGGGGCACAGACAGAAATAAAAGTCTGGAAGTGTTTATAACCCTTCACTACCTAATCAAAAAAGGAAAAAAAAAAAAAAAAAAAATGACTTTAAATATACTTTAACCCAATTTATCTTGCTTCTAGCCACGTTGTGAAGGCAAGACATCCGTTTACATAAGTGCTCATAGCACAGTTTGTGAGAATTTCTTAATGAAGGACAACTTAAAGAACATGTATACCCAACTATTCATATTCCTGATATGTGCCTGCTGCACAATGTGCTTGTATGAAAAAGTATCCTGTTCTCTTTGTATTGCTTCCTTTGTGTTAAATCCCTGGTGTTCTTGCCAATCCCTTTGCTTTCCTATTAAAAAATGACCACACTAGGCATGAGAGCACAGTGTGGTCAGTTCTCTAGCTATGCTGGGAACTCAGTCTGCTCTCCTCCAATAATCACACATGTCCTGACACCCACTCCCCCAAAGCCTTTCACTAGTAAGATGAGTGTACTGCGGTTCCTTCTCCCCTAGCATTAATGCAGCTGAAGAACAGATGAATGTGATCACTTTTATTTAAAAAAAAAAAAAAAAAAAAGTGTTTATTTTTTTAAATCTATACACAAATGTTTTGCCTTCTATTTCTATTTTATACTGAATAGATTGATTTACAAGGCGGGTGTTCGCATATACTTAAAAAAATATAATGTAGTTCTGCTATAGTATGAATAGCAAAATGCAATTATTTTAGTAAATATAAACTGCTAAATACCTTTTCTCATGAGGAGTTAGAGCAGTCTTGTAACTTCTATCAAAGCTTGTAGGAGGAGTTTAGGAGGATGCAGAACCCCTGACCTCTGCCTGGACAGTGCTGATTAGTCATGTGCTGATCACATACACTCTCCCAGAAAGAAAAAAAAACTCTAGCAATACACACCAAACTGAGCATGTGCAGAGCGACTCCCACAAGCTATGTCTTATCAGAAGATTAGAGGGGGACACTGGAAGAAGGGGAGGATCAGAGAAGTCAGGATAAAACAGCGTTTTTACACAATGCAGAATATTAACCCCTTAGGTTCCACAGTGAGTATAACAAGCATGCTTTACTCCATATACAGACTGATTTTACTGTTGTGGGTTTAGTAACAATAAGATTTCCTTGCACTGAACTACACTGCTCAAAAAAATTAAAGGAACATTTTGAAAATCTCAATGGGGAAAAATATGCTGGATATCTATGCTGATATGGACTGGGTAATGTGTTAGGAATGTAAGGATGCCCCATCGTTTGATTTTCAGGGTGTCTTTGAATTCAGTCCTCTGTAGGTTGATAATTTTCATTTCCATCAAAGTGAAAAAATGATGCAGCAGGCTAGGCCATTTTGCTGAAATTTCATTGCAGCAACTCAAAATGGTAGATTGTATAGCCCCCATGTGCTTGTATGCATGTCTGACAACATCGGGGCATGCTCCTAATGAGACGACAGATGGTGTCCTGGGGTATTTCCTCCCAGATCTGGACCAGGACATCACTGAGATCCTGGACAATCTGAGGTGCAACCTGGCGTCGTCGGATGAACCGAAACTGCAGGACCCACTGCACCAGCGTAGGATCTGATAATAGGGTCTAAGGATTTCATCCCAATACCTAATGGCAGTAGGGTGCCATTGTCTAGCCTGTAGAGGTCTGTGCGTCCCTCCATGGATATGCTTCCCCAGACCATCACTGACCCACCACCAAAGCAGTCATGCTGAACAATGTTACAGGCAGCATAACATTCTCCATGGCTTCTCCAGACCCTTTCTTGTCAGTCACGTGCTCAGGGTACAGTACAGTAACATCAAACAGCACACAAGAGGTAAGGACCCTCTTACCTCTTGTGTGCTGTTTGATGTTACTGTACTGTTTCATGTATTGTCCCCCCCTCTATTGTACAGCGCTGAGCAAACCCTTTGGCGCTATATAAACTCGATATAAATAATAATAATAAATAATAATAACCTGCTCTTATCTGTGATAAGCACAATGCGCCAGTGGCGGACCTGCTAATTCGAGCTCTATGGTGCTGGGCAGTGAGGGGCACAAGGGGGGGCCCACTAGAGGATGTCGGGCCCTCAGGTCACCCTCATGAAGTCTGTTTCTGATTGTGTGGTCAGAGACATTAATGTCAGTGGCCTGCTGGAGGTCATTTTGTAGTACTCTCGCAGTGCTCATCCTGTTCCTCCTTGCACAAAGGAGCAGATACTAGTCCTGCTGATGGGTTAAGGACCTTCTACGGCCCTGTCCAGCTCTCCTAGAGTAACTGCCTGTCTCCTGGAAGCTCCTCCATGCTCTTAAGACTGTGCTGGGAGACACAGCAAACCTTCTGGCAATGGCATGTATTGATGTGCCATCCTAGAGGAGCTGGACTGTCTGTGCAACCTCTGTAGGGTTGCAGTATCACCTCATGCTACCAGTAGTGACACTGACCCTAGCCAAATGCAATACTAGTGAAGAACAGTCATAAAGAGAAGTAGGAAAACAAATGTCAGTGGCCTCCACCTGCAAAACCAATCCTGTTTTGGATGTTGTCTCATTGTTGCCCATCTAGTGCACCTGTTAATTTCATTAACACCAAAGCAGCTGAAACTGATCAACAATCCCCTCTGTTACTTAACTGACCAGATCAATATCCCAGGAGTTTAATGCTATACCCTGATTAAAACATGTTCCTTTAATTTTTTTTTTGGTGTAGTATATTTAGTGTTCCCAGTGGAACCTGGACACAATGGTATCCCAATATGACCCTCTGCTGCTGAAAAAAAAAAAAAAAAAAAAAAAAAAAAGGATGGTCATGAAAAATTTATAAAAGGAAAAACACTTTTTAGAAGCATATTTATAAAGTCAGAATCTGAGCTGTTATTTGTAGGGTCCTTTAATGACATATAGCTTTAAAGTGGCTTTAATGCATTCTGTGCATCAAAGTAAAAAAACCTGCCCTCCTTGTGCTTTCCTGAGCCCCATCTCAATCAAGAGAAATATGGTGCTTACCATTGTCAATGTCTATGGAAATGCAAACTGTCTGGTTTTTTAACCTGCTCTAGTCACTGACCTGGAGGAAGTAAGAATTCTGACTTTTCCCCACCTTTCATTTGCTATCCTTGTTACAGGTCAGAGTTTGGAAAGGAGTTGGTAAAACAAATAGATTTTTTTTTCCAGAACAGAAAGAAGGTAGGAATTTGCTACAAATGTTAAAATTCTTGCAATGTGAATGGATCACTTTTTTCTCCACAAAAGGGAGTAACACTTTAACCACTAGCCTACAGGGCACTTATACTCCCTTCCTGCCCAGGCCAATTTCCAGCGCTGTTGCTCTTTGAATGACAATTGCACGGTCATGCAACGCTGTACCCATATGAAATTTTTATCATCTTTTTGTGACAGAGCTTTATGTTGGTGGTATTTAATCACCTCAGGGTTTTTTATTTTTTCCTAAACAAACCACTGAAAATTTTGAAAAAAAAAGTTTCTTAGTTTTTGTTAAAATGTTTTGTAAATAAGTGATTTTTCTCCTTCACTGATGTGCGTTAATGAAGCTGCAGTGATGGGCACTGATAGGCTGCACTGATGGACACTGACAGGCATCATTGACGGGCACTGAAAGGCGGCACTCATATGGCACTGATAGGCGGCACTGACAGGCAGTGATAGGTGGCACTGACAGGCACTGATGGGTGACACTGAAAGACAGCTCACATGGGCACTGATATGTGGCACTGATTTGCACTGGTAGGCACTGAAATATGGCATTGATGTGGCACTGATGGGCACTGGCAGGTGGCATGGATGAGCACTGACAGCTGTGGCACTGATGGACACCGACAGGTGGCACTGCTGGGGCTACACAGATCATCAGGGCACACTGATCATCAGTGCCCTGATGATCAGTGTACATGTCCCCTCCGAGGGATGCCAATTACCAGCTCTCCTCTCGATCTGTCAGCGTGACAGCTCGTGAGGAAAGAAAAGCTGATAACCGGCATTTCCCTATTTACATGCGATCAGCTGTGATTGGACACAGCTGATCACATGACCGAGCCGACATCTTCGGCTCTTTCCGTGGATCGGTGATCCACTGTGTCCGAGGGACTCAGCGCACCACCGATTGCCGTGCTGCCCGCTCCAGGAGCCGAGCATACGCGCATAGAATTGGAGGACGTCATATGACGTCCTCCCAGAACGAGAGAACCGCCTTGTGCCCATCACTGTACTATATGGAGGGCGGGAGGCGGTTAAAGTGGTTGTAAACCTCAGACATGAAATATGAACAAAGCATGTCCCTCTATAGTGTGTTCTTGTCTCAATTAAAAGCACAATGGGATCATTTACTAAATCTGGAGAGTGCAAAGTCTGGTGCAGCTCTGCAGAGAAACCAGCCAACTCCCAGGTTTTAGCCCCCGGTCACATCAAAGCAATTTTGAAAACCGCGCGACTTATAGTGAGGTCGCACGATTTCAAAATCGGATGACCTACCGATTTCATTGCGATTGGCAAGACATCAGATGTCTATGCAAATCGCAACAAAAGTAGTGCATGTACTACTTTAGAAATCGATGCTGCTCTGACCAAGTCGGAACCGCACCGATATGACTGCTCTAATAGCGGACAGTAGGGTGGGACTTGGAATATGATTTGTAAGTCACCTAGCATGCAAACCGCATGCCAATTTGCACCCGACGTGACCGGGGTGTTATTGTCAAAGCTTAATTGAACAAGCTGAAGTTAGAAACTGATTGTCTACCATGTACAGCTGCACCAGAGTCTGAGTGCACCAGTTTTAGTAAATCTCCCCCTAAGTGTAATTTCTCTCTACTGCCTAGTTCCTCTGTTATCAGCATAAATCACTTCTGACAGGTTTTCCTGACAAGAGGAAAAAAAAAAAAGTGCCGGAGATTGAAAGCCTCAGCTCAGCTCCTGTGTGAAGGGGAGAGTGGGATGTCCCTTCCCTCCACTCAGCTCAGCTCTCAGAGCTTTCCGCAGTAAGTGATTTCAGCTCTCTTCCTCCTGTTTTCTGGAAGCTCAGACAAACTTTATAAACTCTGGACTTTGAACAAATGTAAAGAAGAATGAACTGGTTTTCTGCAGCGATTTGGCATAACATGGAGCACAGTTAGGTGACACCATAACAGAAAGTGGCTGAACAAGAAAATGGTAACGTCACGGCTGTATGAAAGAAAAGTAGCTAATAAAACAATAATATAGCAAATACAATTGCTACACAAATCATATTGTAATTGCATATTATTAAAAATTAGAATGCACCAATGCTAATACTGAGTATTTTCACGAGTGCTCGTACTCGTGAAAATTTTCCCAATACCTGAAACCAATACTTTGCAGCTCGAGTAGTGTCAGTATAAAATGTATGGGCGCAAACTGCACCACAAAGAATAGAATGCGATTTCAACAGGAATGCAGTGCCACAAAGGAAACCCCCCTGCACTGATCCCATGCAGTCACAGAAGGAAAAATCTGGGGATTTGAAGTCTCCACGGCTTTCTTTACTCTCCTTGCAGGGATGACAGTATGGTCTGCACAGCTTTTGATTGATCAGCACAGTCATGGTGCTGACCAATCATTAGCCGTCTAGTCCGTACCGTCATCCCTGCAAGAAGATGAGAGTTTGCAGCGGGGATTTTAAATCCCCAGGCTCTCTCCTCTCCTTGCAGGGATGACGTACGGGCTAGACTGCTTCTGACTGGTCAGCACCGTGATGAGGATTTCAAATCCCCGGCTTTTCCTTCTATGACAGCATGGGTTTAGTGCAGGGAGGTTTCCTGCACCATTCCTGTGTGAACTCTATGGCTATCACAAGCCTGGGTTCACACAGGAGCAGTAGGGAAACAGCACGCGATTTGGACAGGAATCGCATGCTATTCTTTGTGGTGCAATTTGCATCCATACAGTTTGCACTGATGGAAATTGCACCACAAAGTATCAGTGAGTACCTGACTGAAAGTACTGGTACTTGTACTCACTGATCAAAAACACAGCATCAGTGGAAAAAATTACCTTTCCTTTTCAATCTGCAATGCTGTAATTTTCAGTAAAATGCAATGCAATGTGGCTACCTAAAGGCGTACTGTTCATATAGTGTGTACAGAATGCCCCCCTCCCCCCCGAAATGTCATTTCCTTCTTGTGCGACTGGCTTACGGAGTTTCCCCAGAAGTCTGCACTAACATGCAAGTCAGATTTTAGGCATCTCCTGAAACAAATGTCATTTTTAGTGAGATACTTCCAAAGGAAAATCATGTCTGCAAGAATGCAGACCCTGCCACTTTCCCCACAAACCTGCAGGTGCAACAACAGATAATTATATAATCACTCCCATATGAATTCACTTAGTACATGGACACAAACAGCTATTTCTTCCAAACAAAAGATAATCCTTGCAATTTACATAGATCACCCAAAGGGGAATATTCTTTTTCTCCACAAAAGCGGAGTTACTCTTTAGGGCAGCTCCACTAGTGTTAAAGAATATGCAAACCCAGCATTTCATAATCCTGATATGTGCCTGTTGTACCATGTACTTGTATGGAAAAAGGATCCTGCCCGCTTTGTAATCTTCTGTTGTGTGAAATCTCTGGTGTTCCTGCCAGTCCGTCCCCTTTCCTATTAAAAACTGACCACACTACGCAGAAGAAAACAGCATGGTCAGTTCTCTAGCTTTCCTGGAAACTGAGTCTGCTCTCCTCAAGCGATCAGACTTGTCCTGACAACCCCCCCCCACCTGCACAGCCACTCACTGGGAAGACCATTGTACTGTTGTTTCTCCACTGGCACCTCTCAATGCAGCTGAGAGGCTATGCAATGAAAAAAAAAAAAAAAAAAAAAAAAAACCACATTATAAACATTTTTTCCCTTTTTTTATAGATATCTATACACAAATGTTTTGCCTTTCATTTCTATTTAACCTGAATTTAGCTTTAGTTCCACTATAACGAACGCTGAATATTAAGACTGAAAACAACTTTTGAAATGACATGTTAAAGCTTGTACTAGATTTAAGTCAGTGTACTAAATCCCTTTAGCGTCACATGCATATTATTTTCTGTAAATTTACAAACAAAAAAATAAAAAATGACATACTTGTTGCATCAGCAGAAATATATATAATATATATATATATATATATATAATATATATATATATATATATATATACACACACACACACACGTAAACCTACAATAGCGACCCTTTAAAATGCATACAGCGAGGTTACTGAAGAGTATGGAGGTTCATTAGAAGAGTTATGCGAGTAGAAGGGCTGTGAACAAAGTTTCAGCAAAGTGTTTGTGCAGATCCAGCTAGCATGGCACCCCCTCTGCAGTATACAATGTCCAGTCAGCCCTCCAGTGAAGTTGTGTCCATAGGACAGCTGTGGAGAAGTTTTCCCAGCTGCACAGAACAGGTTCCTGTGTCCTCCCTCCTGAATGATCCCATGGACCACTCACATCCTTTCCCAGACCCTGCTTTAAAATTAGCCTTCCCTCCCTCCCTTTTGGCATCAAACGCATGCCCCAATTTGCATTTCTTTAGGGGGTCTCTCCATCACCATTAGCTGCAGGCTGAGAGACTCTTCCTCTTTTCCCTCCTCCTCTCTCCAGGTGCAGCACTTCTCCCCTTCCTCCTGAAGACTGGAGGAGCCCCGGACATCGCTTACCTGGTGTAGAAGGTCCAGCTTCCATCCCATCCACCCGGCCTGCTCTCAGCCTTGGTCTACAAGCTAGCCTAGCTCCTTGGCTGCTCTGCTGCAGCTGCTGTCTGTGTTCCTAAACCTCCAGCATGCCCACGCATGCGTACCAGGGCTAGAGCCGCGCAGCCAATCGCAAAGCGTCATGCTGCCTTCTTTTGCCCGCAACAAACTTTATTGCTACAACTGGAAGCGCGCACAATATCGTAGTATGGGGTCGCGGTGCTGGAAGCTATCACTGTGGCTTCAGTTCTTCGCTTAGAGAAGACGGAATTATTCTACTGACTGTTAATAGCCTCTTCCACTCGCAGGGTGAAGGCGTTTCTAGGACTAGCTTGCTAACTAATGAAATAGATGCCAACTGTTTCCGAGATCTACAATGCAGACCGTTACAGGGTGCTTTATAGAGAGATTTCCTATCATTTACTGTCAGTGAGACTCCATTATTATTATACAGGATTTATATAGCGCCAACAGTTTGCTCAGCGCTTTACAATATTAAGGGAGACCATACAGTTCAATGCAAGAGGGTTAGGAGCAGGGGCGGACTGACAGCTCATGGGGCCCCTGGGCAGTGCCCTTGCCCAAACTCAAAAAAGCCTATTAAAAAGGTACCAGGGGCATCTCATGGGCCCCCCTACTGACCATGGGCCCTCGGGCAGTGCCCAAGTTTCCAAATGGTCAGTCCGCCCCTGGTTAGGAGGGAAGTGCTCCTGGGAGCTTACAATCTAAGAGGGAGGGGCTGGTGGTACAAAAGGTAATAACTGCAGGGTGGTGTGAACTGTTAGGAGGAATAGATAATTCCGTTATTAGCAGAAGACAAGATAGGGTTCCCTGAAGAGATAGGTTTTCAGAGATCGCTTAAAAGTGGGCAGAGCAGGTGACCGTTGGATAGATTGAGGTAGAGAGTTCCAGAGGATGGGGAGGCTCTGGAGAAGTCCTGGAGCTGAGCAGGAGAGGAGACAAGGGAGCTAAAGAGCAGAAGGAAAGTTTGGAACATGACCTATAACTTTTAGATCTCCAGCACTGGGTATTTGATAATGGGCACCACAACATACAGAGCAATCTTTATTAGTTTGTTTTATTTATTTAGGAGGAACCTTCACTATTGAGGCTGCAGTGATGCCCCCCCCCCCCCTAATAAATATATTGATATTTTAATGGAGTATTGAAAGCTAGGGAATGTTAACTAGCCCTTTAGAAGCTGAACTAAACCCTCTTCTCTATTATAGCCTATGGATTTGCCAGTTTGGCCTCTGAGCTGCACCAGCTATGACGCTGCACATGTGATCAGTTATAACACCAGCCATTTGACAGTTTGGTTGACAGCCCAAGGAAATGTGAAAGTTACATTCAGAGCATGCTAACGTTGATAACCCATTAATTTTAAAGTTTCCCCAAAACGGAAAAGTTCCACTTTAAACCCTGGTTCACACAGATACAGTGC